TAAGTGAAATCAGTGTTCAAAGGATATTAAATATTTTGAAGGAAGCCTTAAATATCTCGCACGTCCTCTCGTGAAAGCTGGTGATTATCGACGATATGTTGGGCCGTAACACCATATATGACTCCTCTGGGCTGTACTTCGGCCACTGGAGGCTTAATTGTGGCAATACTTTGCTGTAGATAACAAAATATATTTTAATTTTCAATTAGTGAGTACTATTGGTACTTCATAACCTTGGCTATAACTGCAGTTATAAAACTTTATAGACTAGAGTCTAGTCACTAGACATTATATTACATTATATTAGGTAAAATGGGACTCAGGGACAGCAATTTTTAAGATTACAAAAAACCATAAGAAGTACTTTTAATGAACAATTTTATACATTCACTTTATATAAACTTATATAGTCAAATATTTGTATATTTACCCATTTTTAGCAAAATGTGACCAAATCTTCATAACTCTTTTACTCATTTCTATGTCATCTTTACTGAAGTATTTTGTGCGTCTCAGAGGGTATCCAAAGACAAACGGCACCTCTTCGTAGTGACTGACCTACAAATTTATCGATAAATAATTAAATACATCAATTTTAGGATTAACTCACCCCTTGCCACTCCCCGAATTTGGTAGGCTTAGCCTTGTGATCAAACAAATACATGTAAACCGTCTTATTGCGGGCCACCATCTCATCGGCCATATAAATGGTGGGACAAGTGATGGAGTTATCGCCCATTGCTTTCGACAGTCTCACCATATTATTGAAAGGTGTGTCCATTTCGGGGCCCACAATCATCTGCCGATCGGTAACATTAAGTTATTCATGTAATGATAGGTAATTGATTGGCAATGTGTTACCGAGTTAGCAATGAGTGGTGCGATGTTTGGGGCCAGTCCTACTTTCTCTGTCAGATACCAGACAAACATATTTCTTGTGTCTTCTTGTGTTCGCATTAGTGGAAAGGTATGTCGTCTGAACACCTGAGGACTGGATGCATGCATGAGCCACGCGCCTTCATTGGGCACCACCCCTGCCAACAGCTCCTATTGAATCAGATGAACCATAAATATATATATATATATATATATATTTGGTTAATATATACGAACCTTCATATTTGAGAATAGATTCGTATCATTGAGTTGGTTGGCCGGGGAGTTCATGTCTTTATAGGCGCCGTTAGAGGTGGGAACGAATGCGAGCTGAGAACTCTCCAGAATCTGAGTTTGTACCTGATACAAATCAATTGCAATCACTTATATTCTGAATACTCTGTATATGAATATTCTGTTTATCAATTGGTTAATCATGTTTCAAATGATTGATTGTATGCTTACGTCAATGAGTTGATTGAGCGGTACTTTCCTAAGACATTGAATCACTTTATTTGGATTAGTCTTGTATTCTCTGTTTTGAGCGCATCCAAGCATTTTTGCAAACTTTTCGCTAATACAAGATTTTTAAATATAATTTTAGTTATGTTTTGTCGTTTTTTGATAATAAATAGCAGTACTGTATAATTACTGTATAATAAATGTAATATTTACCCGTTTTGTACGGTTTTTGAGTTCAATATACCGGGCAATAGAGCCCCTCCGCTGGCGGTTATGGCTCTCGAGAATATATTCTTTGTTGAATTCAATGCCATTAATATCCCAACACTGATCGCACCGGCACTCTGACCAAAGGGCACTATTTTGTTGGGATCGCCACCGAATTGTCGGATATTATCCTTAACCCAATTCAAACCCAGTGACTGGTCATAGATACCCATATTTCCCGGAGCTTCAGGTGTTTGAATGTTTAGAAAACCTAAGGCTCCGTTACTTTAGAAATAATATAAATAGATATTTTAGCTATTACATTTTAAATATACTTTAGATATTAAATAAATATTTTAAATAAATTATTAAACATAAATTAATATTTACCGATAGTTGATAGAAACGACCACCACATCCCCATATGTAGACAGTACCTTACCGTCTGTATCATAGAGATTAGCCGTATTATATTGGAAAGCCCCTCCATGTATCCAAACCATTACAGTTCGTAGGGTTTTTGGCCGAATATCTGGTGTCCAGATGTTTAGTGTCAGACAGTCTTCCGATATATTATGAGTTATATATTTCATGGGAACCAAACTCTTGGGGAATATCTTGTGAGGACACATAGCGCTGAAGCTCATGGCCTTAAAAATGCCTTTCCATGGTCTGATGGGCTCGGGTTTGGTAAATCTACGATCACCGACAGGTGGTTCGGCGTACGGTATGCCCAGAAAGCCATAGATTGTGGACCCAAATACTGTTAGATTCTTACCCTCAATAACACCACTCGATGTCTTCACAATAGGTCTCTTATATGTATAGAAATCCGATGCAAACGTTTGGTTCTTGGTCTTTGTGGGACTGATACCATGTCTTTTGAAGTTGATTTTTGGTGGTAACGGCGGCCGAGTTTCTGAAACGGTGGACAACTTCATCGTCGAGTCGTTCATATCAACAATTACGGGTAGATTAGAGTTTTTGGTTAAGTTGTCGGTAATGTAGTTATTATTGTCGTCCAAACAATATTTGGTTTTTTCAATTGCATTGGTCTTTGATCTCCAAATAACGACAACNTGAGTCAGTAAATGAGCTCCAATTCTATCGCAAGAATTCAGATCACAATCATTTGTGGCATACATTTTGGCAGTTTTCATTCAAATATACTTTCATTTTGTAGTGTTATTTTATACAAAAATTGTAAATTGTGTTCAAAAACACATTTGTTTGCGTTGAATAAACAAATAATATTTTATGTCTTAATCATAAATATGAAGATATTTATTGTAAATGATTTTGTAAATTTTCAATTTATAACTTTTCCAGAATATATATATTTATTTATTAAAATTATGAATCACATGATTGATAACTTTGCACAATAGTATATGGGTGTTTTTTAATTAGTTTAGTTGGAATTATTTTAAATTCTATATAAAATGAATAGAAAAGGAAATCCCATTAAAAGTTGTTGCAGAAGGATATCATATCCTCAATATGTATATATAAAACAGATTATGTAATATTAATACATAAATATGTATTAATCGAAACACTAATCTTATTGTCAGTTTGAATAGTACGACAGAAAGGATTAAAATATGAAATATTTATACATTTTATTGTTGTGTATTTGTATAATAAGTTTGGCTACAAGTGAGTCAATTAAGTCTTAATGAAACAATTAATTGATTATTAAAGACAATATTTGTTTTGCATTGAACTGCAGGCCAGGGCTCCAGACGTGGACCTCGAGTGCCAAAAGAGTCTCGAGTGAGTCGGTGCCCGACTTTGAACCCCGGGATCAGATGCTTCCGACACTACGATCAGTGCCCGCGGGTTGGCCTCAGGTGTGGTCGAAGTCTTTCGCATTGCTGTCCCGGAGAGTGCGGTAATAAGTGTGTGAAATAGGCATTCAATTCAGTGTTTCATATACCAGTATAAGTATAAAATATACAGTATGTGACGGACAATGAAATTAAAGTCTATGAGAGACCTAAACCGCTAAATTGTTTCTACATTATATGTAATCTTTATTTTGAAAAAATTATAAAGCATTGTATGAAATGTAATAAATTAAGTGAAATCAGTGTTCAAAGGATATTAAATATTTTGAAGGAAGCCTTAAATATCTCGCACGTCCTCTCGTGAAAGCTGGTGATTATCGACGATATGTTGGGCCGTAACACCATATATGACTCCTCCGGGCTGTACTTCGGCCACTGGAGGCTTAATTGTGGCAATACTTTGCTGCAGATAACAAAATATATTTTAATTTTCAATTAGTGAGTACTATTGGTACTTCATAACCTTGGCTATAATTGCAGTTATAAAACTTTATAGACTAGGGTCTAGTCACTAGACATTATATTACATTATATTAGGTAAAATGGTACTCAGGGACAGCTATTTTTAAGATTACAAAAAACCATAAGAAGTACTTTTAATGAACAATTTTATACATTCACTTTATATAAACTTATATAGTCAAATATTTGTATATTTACCCATTTTTAGCAAAATGTGACCAAATCTTCATAACTCTTTTACTCATTTCTATGTCATCTTTACTGAAGTATTTTGTGCGTCTCAGAGGGTATCCAAAGACAAACGGCACCTCTTCGTAGTGACTGACCTACAAATTTATCGATAAATAATTAAATACATCAATTTTAGGATTAACTGACCCCTTGCCACTCCCCGAATTTGGTAGGCTTAGCCTTGTGATCAAACAAATACATGTAAACCGTCTTATTGCGGGCCACCATCTCATCGGCCATATAAATGGTGGGACAAGTGATGGAGTTATCGCCCATTGCTTTCGACAGTCTCACCATATTATTGAAAGGTGTGTCCATTTCGGGGCCCACAATCATCTGCCGATCGGTAACATTAAGTTATTCATGTAATGATAGGTAATTGATTGGCAATGTGTTACCGAGTTAGCAATGAGTGGTGCGATGTTTGGGGCCAGTCCTACTTTCTCTGTCAGATACCAGACAAACATATTTCTTGTGTCTTCTTGTGTTCGCATTAGTGGAAAGGTATGTCGTCTGAACACCTGAGGACTGGATGCATGCATGAGCCACGCGCCTTCATTGGGCACCACCCCTGCCAACAGCTCCTATTGAATCAGATGAACCATAAATATATATATATATATATAATATAAACCAATTATATATGCTTGGAAGTATAAACTCTTATCTAAGCATAGTAACTCAACCAACCGGCCCCTCAAGTACAGAAATATCCGCGGCAATCTCCACCCTTGCTTACGCTCGACTCTTGAGTCCAGAATCTGAGTTTGTACCTGATACAAATCAATTGCAATCACTTATATTCTGAATACTCTGTATATGAATATTCTGTTTATCAATTGGTTAATCATGTTTCAAATGATTGATTGTATGCTTACGTCAATGAGTTGATTGAGCGGTACTTTCCTAAGACATTGAATCACTTTATTTGGATTAGTCTTGTATTCTCTGTTTTGAGCGCATCCAAGCATTTTTGCAAACTTTTCGCTAATACAAGATTTTTAAATATAATTTTAGTTATGTTTTGTCGTTTTTTGATAATAAATAGCAGTACTGTATAATTACTGTATAATAAATGTAATATTTACCCGTTTTGTACGGTTTTTGAGTTCAATATACCGGGCAATAGAGCCCCTCCGCTGGCGGTTATGGCTCTCGAGAATATATTCTTTGTTGAATTCAATGCCATTAATATCCCAACACTGATCGCACCGGCACTCTGACCAAAGGGCACTATTTTGTTGGGATCGCCACCGAATTGTCGGATATTATCCTTAACCCAATTCAAACCCAGTGACTGGTCATAGATACCCATATTTCCCGGAGCTTCAGGTGTTTGAATGTTTAGAAAACCTAAGGCTCCGTTACTTTAGAAATAATATAAATAGATATTTTAGCTATTACATTTTAAATATACTTTAGATATTAAATAAATATTTTAAATAAATTATTAAACATAAATTAATATTTACCGATAGTTGATAGAAACGACCACCACATCCCCATATGTAGACAGTACCTTACCGTCTGTATCATAGAGATTAGCCGTATTATATTGGAAAGCCCCTCCATGTATCCAAACCATTACAGTTCGTAGGGTTTTTGGCCGAATATCTGGTGTCCAGATGTTTAGTGTCAGACAGTCTTCCGATATATTATGAGTTATATATTTCATGGGAACCAAACTCTTGGGGAATATCTTGTGAGGACACATAGCGCTGAAGCTCATGGCCTTAAA